GACACAATTCAACTTTGTACCCATTAGTTTCCCTTTTTCATCAAAGTTTCTTATCAAATAAGATTAAATATCTTGTTCAGTACCTGGCACAGAGCAGACCTTCAATAAATATTTGTTGCGTAAATGCACCGATGGATCTTTGATTCCGTGGTGTCCTGAATTCTCAGAGTTCCCTACTGACTCAAGAAATAGTCTCCTTTAAGAAAGTGACTTCAAAAAAAAAAAAAGAAAGTGACTTCAAGGTTTTCAGGCAAGAATATAAAGTTTGTGTGAACAGCTCCAGGCAGATTCAGGAGCTCAGATCTAATTACTCCTTGAATGTGCTCGGTGCTCTTCCCATAGCCTGAGAGATTGCAGGAAGGTCCTTCATTCCTGGAAATATTTTCCATTGCCGCAAAGAATTCATTGTTCCAGCAAAGACTGAAGCACTCCCTCCAGTCATTTGAAAGAGCTTCCAATGATGAACAGGTGCTGCAGGCTGAGATGAGAACCCGGCTGTAGGTAATGGGACAGGTGACCTTCCACAAGCTTCTACCCCTGGCATCCCCTGTGTCCCCCAGCCAAAGGGGGAATGCCGCCTCTTAATTTTTACCCTTCAGGCCATGGGCTCACATACCTTGTTGTGCTTACAACGTGCCAGGAGTGCTTCATCTGATACAGTAAAGTGACTCAAAGTCTAAACTCTGGAATTGGACCTGTGCTGTCTGCTCTTGGCTCCACCACCACATTACTGTGTGATCTTGAGCAAGTTACTTAACCTCTCTCTGTGCCTCAGCACCCCTATTGGTAACTTGGAGTTAATTAATAATAGCACCTACCTTATAGCAGAGCGCTGAAGAATTGATGCTTTTGAATTGTGGTGCTGGAGAAGACTCTTGAGAGTCCCTTGGACTGCAAGGAGATCAAATCAGTCAATCATAAAGGAAATTAGTCCTGAATATTCATTGGAAGGACTGATGCTGAAGCTGAAGCTTCAGTACTTTGGCCAACTGATGCAAAGAGCCAACTCATTGGAAGAGACCCTGATGCTGGGAAAGATTAAGGGCAGCAGGAGAAGGGGATGACAGAGGATAAGATGATTTGATGGCATCACCGACTTGATGGACATGGGTTTGTGTAAGCTCCGGGAGTTGGTGATGGACAGGGAAGCCTGGCATGTTGCAATCCATGGGGTCGCAAAGAGCTGGAGACGACTGAGTGAATGAACGGAACTGAATCTTATAGCAGATGTGATATCATATGTAATACACTTCACTCAGTGCATACAGACTATGTTAGGGGTGATTGTTTTCTTATATTAATGAAGACATTGCTGATGTTGAGGCTGGTCAATGGAGGAGGTAAATTCTAGTGTTCAGGTTTTTTTTTTTTTTTTAATATTTATTTATTGTGTATAGCAGCCAGGTCTCAGTTGCAGCACATGGGATCCAATTCCTTGACCAGGGATTGAACCCAGGTTCCCTGCACTGGGAATGTGGAGTCTCAGCCACTGAACCACCAGGGAGGTCTCTAGTGTCCAGGTTTTAATCCATGTCCTCATTAATAAGATTGAATAAAATAAAGAGTCTGCACTCATCATTCCTGTTAGGGCTTTCTAGAACTCAATCCATCTCTCCTTGTCTTCTCTCTTTCTTCTTTACTTCCTTATAATCCTAAATGCTCAAACTTGGATTTTTTTTTTTAAACTAATTCCCAGACAACTCTCTGAAACCTGTTTCATGGATTAGGAATCTGAGAATCAGCGAGATGTGGTGACTTCTGAGTGAGAAAGCTACAATTCAAGCCAGGTTATGTCTGACTTTAAGGCCACAGAATAGGGAGACGGGGCTGAAGGGGTTGGAATTTGTCCTCTCTCTGAAATTCCTGTCCATCCTGAGGACCTAAGCATAAAGCTGGCCACCAGATTGGCCTGTCCTGGACAGTGCTCCTACCCTGGACGAGCTTCTCTACCCCGTTACCAAAGCTGGGCCCTTGCCCTCTGTCACACTGAACAGGCCCCACTAGAGTGATGAGAAAGCCAGCCTGTTAGGACATGGGATTCTCATTCAGTAGCTCTTAAGAAAAAAACAAAACAAAACTACAATGTTGTGATAGTTTCAGATGAACAGCAAAGGTATGCAGCCATACATGTGTGTGTATCCGTTCTCCCCCAAGCTCCCCTCCCATCCAGGCCATCACAAGCATTTTGTTTTTTGGGTCTTTTTTTAAAAAAAATGTTTGTTTATTTATTTATTTGGCCGCACCAGATCTTAGTTGAGGCATGTGGACTCTTATTTGAGGCATTGTGGGTATTAGCTCCCTGACGAGGGAATGAACCCAGGCCCCTGGCACTGGGAATGCAGACCACCGGGCCACCACAGAAGTCCCTCCAGCAGCACTCTGAATGCCCAGGAGCCCCTGGCCAGTGGGTGGCACCCTGCCCTATTTCACAGCAAAGCGCGGCTCAGAAGAGTTCTGTGAGTCTGGCTGGCCGCACACTGGTCTGAGCCTGGCTTTGAGCCCTGGCCCGCCTCTCTGGTTTCCTCCACTCACATCCTTTTGCAGCACCGCCTGTCTCCTCTGTTTCTCTCCGGAGTAGCCTGGGATGACATTAGCTTCCGGTGCCAGAGCCCAACACTGCCAGGAGCCAAGAGGTACTCAAGGTGGGCTTCAGGACCAAGGGACAGAAATGTCAGGACAGAGGGCACGCCGGTGGGGGCTGTGTGCCAACACAGCTCCCCTCAGGGGAGGCTGGCACCGGGCGGCAAGAGTGAGGAAGGCCATCAGAGGTGATCATTTTCTGTTCTTTCTCTTTCGCATAGACAATAGGTGCTAGAATTCTCTGACCTCTCTGAGGACCTGACTACTGGAGTTTGAAGACTCCAGAGGTTAGTTTCCCATGCTGCCCCACAAACCCACTAGCAGTGCCCAGCTTCCTGGTTGCTTTGGAACCGCACGCAAAGGAGGCAGTGTACTGGAGCAGAAAGAACGCGGGTTAGTCTCCTAGGGAGCTCCGGCAGTGGCTGGCTGAGCAACCTCAGGCAGATGAATTGACCTCTCTGATCCTCAGGCTTCTCTTCGGCGTGGTGGTCTCTTCTTCATAAAGTTGTTATGAAGATTCAACTAGATAATGGACACAGAGCAGCTAATGTAGTGTTTGGCACATGGTAAGCACTCAGTAAACATGAGCCCACCGTTACTTTGGTAGAAATGGTGCTGTTATTAGCAATGGAAACCTTGGTGGAGGGTCCAAGAACAAGGTGGAATGGGAGTAGAGGTGAATGAGGAAAGAACGTTCCTTCCCTAACCTACTGGCTACCCTCCCAAACTGCACATGCCCCAGGCCAGTTCTGGAAATGCCAAACAATGCTTCTCATTTATTCATCCTGGGGAGACAAGGTGTTCTCCAGGCCCACTTGGCCTTGGCTTAAAAGGATGGGGACACCCACACACCGTCACTCATGCTCCTTCCCAGTACCTGGAGTTCACAAGGCCAATAGCGTGGGTGTCACAGAGTTGCCCTCAAAGCACCTTATAAGAAAAAAGGAAGATTTTGTTTGCAGATTGCAAGAGTTAATTGCATACAGACTTATACCCTGACTTTTCTGTATGTGACTCCATAGGGGCTATGACCCTTGTTCATTGTTCGGGAGCCCAGCAGTGCCCTCAGCTTCTGGGTTTTAGGAGACTTAGGAATAATCCAGTCCTACTAGCTCATTTTGGGGGAAATGAAGCTCAGAGAACCAGAAGGCCCAGTTCAACAACAACAACACACACAATAACTGTCAGGAAAGGGGACCTGGGAGGGATGATGGATTGGACTCAACGAGCCCCTCTGAGGTTTCAAGTCTGCCTCTCAACTATGGGGTCTTTGGAAGGATATCATGTGACATTTCCCATTTTTCACCACCCTGCACCCCCTGGCTGGTGCCTGACTCCGGAAACCGTGGAAGGTCATTCCCTCCAGCAGAAGTCTCCTCTCTTTTATGGAGCAGAAATGGTCAAGAGAAGACGCGAGAGTCTTTCAGATGACTGTGACTCCCCGGGCGAGGTGGGAAAGATGGGGTTATTTGAGAGGACCATTGCATTTATAGGGCCTCTTATCTTTACGGCAAAATCCCAACTGGGCATCGGGATGCAATAAGAAAGAAAACAACAACCATAAAGATTTGGTTGAAGAGTGTGGGGTTGTGTGCCTCAGGTGGGCAGCTGGACCCACCATTGGAGGGGGGTCCTTGTAACCCTGAGATTCTCTGTTAAGTTAGGGCCTGATGACACGGAGCTGAGAAATCCTGGTGGAGCTGCTGGGAGCAATTCCCAGATCCACTGGGGGGTCCTCTCCACTCCTCCCCAACTCTGCCAGCCAAATGTGGGCATGCCCCTGTCGCAGCAGGAGAGCCACTCCTGTGCACAATTTCTCCCTGTCTATCCCTGGGAGCAGGTCAGTGGGAGACCTGAGTCACCAGGACCTTTGGAGAGGCGAGATGGGCATCAGACAGCATCAGGGAGAGCACAGGAGGACTTCCCGTAGGCTCTGACTTCCCAGGAGGGAAAATATGTCACAGCCAGAAACAGAAGCTAGCTACCCAAACACACAAAATCAAACCAAAAGAAAGAAGGGGAGGGGGGAGAAGAAATTGAAAAAAAAAAAAGGAGTTCCAGTTCTATTTGTTCTATAATACCATTAATATTTCAATACTTTTCATCCAGATATAGAAAGAAAAGTCAGGGGCATTGGACTAAAAGGAACGGGAGACCCCCTTCCTTTGTCGCGGTCAAGTAGTTTCTTCCCCATCCCCAAAGAGTTTATTAATAGCTATGCTATACCCGTGGCAAGCGTTAGTCTATTGTCCAAAAGCACAGTTCTTGACCCAAGACAGCCGTTCTGGCGTTGGCTGGCAAGTCCAGCTGGCATTTACTCTCCCAAGGGAGCAGGTCGGCTGCAAACCGCTTCCTCTGTTCACCGTGATGGTAAGCTGCAGAGGCAGAAGGGACCCCGGCTCCGCCCGGTCGGAGCTCGCTCAGGCGATGGAGGCGATCTCGCTGGGTTTCTGCTCCCTGCAGAAGAGAGTCCTGGGGTTCGGCCCGCGGCCGCCGCGGTGGCCGGGGTGGGAGCAGAAAAGCAGAGCCAGCAGCAGCGCCAGGGTGACGAGGAAGCTGAGCACCCACCGGATGACGCCGGGGTAGATGAAGGGCAGGATGAGGACGATGAGCAGGACCAGGAGGAGCAGGTGCGCGGTCAGGCGCCGAGCCGCCGCGCGGTTGGCGCTCACCGCGTCCTGCTCCTCCTCTCCGGCCGCGCTGGGCTGCCCTGCCGTCAGGGTGGCAGGGTTGGCCAGGCCCTGCGGACGGAGCGGCACCTCCAGGCCCGGCCGGGCCAGCCGCGCCAGCACGTTCTCCTGGTCGCGCAGGGTGCAGACGAGGCCCCCGGGGACGGCCGTGACTTTGCGGCACAGCGGGCAGGGGACGGACCAGGCGTCGTCCTGCACGCAGAGCAGCAGCTTCAGGCAGACGGCGCAGAAGGCGTGCTGGCAGCCCAGCAGCTTGGGCGGCCGGGCACTGCTGTAGGGCTCCCGGCACACCAGACACTCCAGGTCACCCTCCGTGGGGTCCCCAGGACCTCCAGCGCGGCCCGCGGGGTCGGAGGGGGTGGCTTCTTGGCAGACTGGCTGGGGCTGCTGCGGTATCTCGGGGCAGGCCATTCTCGGCCCCGGAGCCCCCAGGACGGGGCAGCTCACGGGCTGGGCATCGACAGGCAGAAATCAGTGGGTGTTGCTAGGACCCGAAGGCCGTCTGGCCGCAGGCTGGGTGGCTGGAGCCTCCTCCGCCTCCTTCTCGTCTTCAGCTGTCTGCCACCACCCTCCCAGGACTGCTCAGCTTGTTTCTTGGCTCACGTTGTCCCTTCAGTTATTATTATTTCTTTCCTTGAAACCTAGGGTTAATCAGTAACTCTCCGGCTGGAGACTTTGAATTGCCTGATAGAAAGGCCACCGGGGCAGGGAGAGCCAGGGCGGGAATCAGGATTTTCCTGTTGGGGCTGGTGCGTCACGAGTGCCCGCAGGACTGCGACTTGTGAGCTTCAGGATATATTAGAATCACCACCACCACCACCCCATCCCAGGAATCTCTTTAAAAAAAATTTTTTTTTATTTAGGGCTATGTCAGGTCTTGGACTTGCATGGTGGTTCAGCAGTAAAGAATCCCCCTGCCATGCAGGAGACGCGGGTTTGATCCCTGGGTCAGGAAGATCCCCTGGAGAAGGAAATGGCAACCCACTCCAGTATTCTTTCCTGGAAATCCCATGGACGGGAGTCTGGTAGGCCACAGTCTGCGGGGTCACAAAAGAGGCAGACACACAACTTCTTCACTGAACAGCATCAGGTCTCAGTTGTGGTGTGTGGGTTTTCTCTCCAGTTGCAGTGCTTGGGTTTAGTTGCCCCACAACATGTAGGATCTTAGTTCCCCAACTGGGTATTGAACCTGAGTCCGCTGCAGTGGAAGGCAGATTCTTAGCCACTGGACCACCAGGGAGGTCCTCCCAGGAACCTTTCAAAATACAAGTTTCCAGGTCCCCAGACCCAGAGATTGAGATTCAGCAAGGTCCGGATGGAAATCTCAGAATTTGCCCCATTTATAAATGTCATCATGATTCTAACCCAGGTGGATTGGGGGGACCCCGCTTGGAGAAACACTGCCATGGATGGATCTCCATGAAAGGTTTTGGATGTCAGGATCAGTGGGAAAAAGTTTGCACTTTGAGTCCATTTGCAAGCAGGCCGCCTTGTGAAGAAGAGAGAAGTGGTGGGAAAAGTATTCTGAGTGTCAGGGGGAGAAAGCCCAGCCAAGCCCAGTAAAACCCCAACAGCTCAGCGGTGTTTACCACCTGTCACGGCCATCCATTCCCTCGCAGTCACGGTAGTTGTGTTAATTGTTCCTGATTCCCGAGCCATGCACGTCACGGACGGAACAATAGGTGTGTTTGTTGTGTGCAGACACACTGCAGACCCAGGAGTCACACGAACAGCTGCTGTTTGTTTGCGCCTCCTTGGAGCCGAGCCTCGTGACTGAGTCCTCACCCCTGATCGCCCTGCATCTTGCACGGCCCTGGAAGGACGGCACTGCTGAGGCCTGGAAGCAAAGGCGGGGTGTGGTCAGGGCAGACTTGCTGGCTGCCCGCCAAGGGGCCTTCCGTGGGGCCAGGGCCCGGGATCTACCAGTGCCCAAGGTCAGGGTCCCAGCTTCTTGGGTCCAGGAACTCGGTCTCGTCTGTTGGTGTGCAGGCAACTGGCCTTTAGGCAGCTGACTCCAGTTAACAGGACTCACGTGGGACTGACAGATACACGCTGCGTGGCGGTTAAGAAATCGTGATTCCCAGGACTTCCCTGGTGGTCCGGTGGTTAAAATTCCATCCTCCCAACGCAGGGGGCGCTGGTTTGATCGCTGGTTGGGGAATGAAGATCCCACATGCCACTTGGTGCGGTAAAAACAAGCAAGCTGCGTTGTTGCTGCTCATTCACTAAGTCGTGTCTGACTCTGTGACCCCGTGGACCGCAGCACGCCAGGCTCGCTTGTCCTGCACTGTCTCCCAGAGTTTGCTCAAACTCATGTCCATTGAGTCGGGGATACTATCTAACCATCTCATTCTCTGCCTCTCTCTTCTCCTCCTGCCTTCAACCTTTCCCAGCATCAGGGTCTTTTCCAGTGGGTCATCTCTTCGCATCAGGTGGCCAAAGTATTGGAGCTTCAGCTTCAGCATCTGTCCTTCCAATGACTATTCAGGGTTGATGGCTTTTAGGATTGACTAGTTTGATCTCCTTGTTGTCCAAGGGACTCTCAAAAGTCTTCTCCAGCACCACAATTCAAAAGCAAACAACAAAAACTTTATATATATGTATAACCGTATCACTTTGCTATACAACAGGAACTAACAAGACATTGTAGACCAACTATAACAAAAAAGTTAAAGTCTAAGGAAAAAAAAGTGTGATTCTGTTGCCTTGCCCTGAATATAAGAGAGTGGGGTGACACAATCCACTTCTTCAAAGTGCTCTCTCCGAGGCCACGCTGAATCCAGAAGCATGAGCCTGGCCCTCCTTCACTGCTCCTGTCACCTGCTGAGGTCCACAAGGTCCAGCTCCTCTGAATCAGTGCTGTCCCTATTCCAAGGGGCAGGCTCTGCTCTCCTGCCTCAGGCCCCCCGGGCCCTCTGTCTCTGAAATCCACTTCTCCACTGTACCCCCTGTCATCACATTTCCCCTTCTCCACCTTCAATGTGACAGTTATTTATTTCTACTCTGCTCTCCCCCAGATCAAGCTGAAGTGTGGCTCAGATCTAGCACGCTTCCTCCCCAGGCCCAACATCCATTTCTGCTTCTACAGTGGCCTGTCTTTCTCTTGGGTAACTGCTGCTCTCCATGTTCATTCTGTGTGATTTACAGCTCTGCTGGAGCTGGGAGGTGATGTAATTCAGGGCAGGCCAATCAGCATATTCACCCCACTGGCTAAAAGAAGTGGTTCAGACTTCAGCATGTGAGCTAAGCCAAAGCAACGAGATTCAATTCTGGGACTTCTGTTGGAATGACTGACAAGTTTCTCTTTCCAAACTAGAGGATAGAACCCTTAGTTACCAGGACCACACAAAAGAAAGATGAGAAAAAAATCAGAAAAAAGTCTGATGACATTGAATGCCTGGATCTAGCCATACCTGAAGCCGGAAATCTTCAGATTTTATTTTATTTTATTTTTTAGTTATAATAATTGATAAAACCCACCTGGATTTTCATCCTTAAGTCATCTTGAGCTGGATTTTTCTGTCCCTTGTAAGGGAAAAGCATTTGAGTGACATAGCAATAGATGAAGAAAAGAAGCCTTTAATTGCTATCTGACATGGACAATCAAAGTGTACATGGCCAAGAAAGAACTAAGCCTGTGGGTTATTGTGCCCAAAGAAGACTCTGTGTCTCTTCTCTGCTTCGGCATGCGTTATCTAAATCTCCTTTCTGTTTGCTAGACCCTAGGGAGGGTTGAGACAGGAGAAAAAAGAGATACGTTGAGCTGCATTCATTTATAATAAGAAATAGAAAATTGGGCGGACAACACAGTTCAGTCAGCTTGGCTGGTGACGCCCCCCCCTCTGCTAGCCAGCCCTGTGTCTGTGCTCAGTCACTTCAGTCGTGTCCAACTCTGTGCGGCCCTGTGGACTGTAGCCCACCAGGTTCCTCTGTCCATGGGCTCTCCAGGCAAAAATACTGGAGTGGGTTGCCATGCCCTCCTCCAGGAGATCTTTCTGACCCTGGGATTGAACCTGCTTCTCTTACGTCTCTTGCATTGGCAGGCAGAGAGATTCTTTACCACTAGCGCCACCTGGGAAGCCCCTAGCCAGCTCCGAGTGAGTAGTGATAGTCGCTCACTTATGTCAGACTGTCTGTGAGCCCATGGATTATAGCCTGCCAAGCTCCTCTGTCCATGGAGTTCTCCAAGCAAGAATACTGGGAAGCCAAATATTCAGGAAGGTAGCTAGGGGAAGTTGAAGTCAGACCAAGGAAAGTTATTTGGGGTTAGTGTTTAAAGAATAATGTTTGATGTTGTTGGGCAGCTACTGTGAAGAAAACATATATTGAGTTTAACAGCTCAAGTATTATAGAAATATATAAAGTAGAAAGTGAAAGTTCATGAAGGTTCCTTGGCTTAACCACTTACACCGGTTTTATAGTTAGGCATCCGGCTCCTGTCACGTTACTAGCTGCACGGCTTCTGACAAGTCTTCTCAACTTCACTGACGCTCAGTTTCTCACTTCGAAAAAATGGAGACAATAACACTAAGAAATCGTGGGAGATTACTGAAGGCCCCACCTCCATCAAACCCTGCTCAGGGCAGACTGGGTAATTTATACACCTCGCTATGTCTCGGACCTCAGTGTAACTGATCTCACAAGGGGACACAGAGATAAGACATTCTGATAATCTGCTTAGCCAGTGTTTCTTAAAGAGAAGTGACAGAGGGCAGGATTTGGGGCATAGCCTGAAGACGGGATACCAAGTGGGAGACTGGGATTGACACATATACCCTACCACGTGCGAAATGGGGTCCCTGGTGGCTCCGCAATAAGGAATCTTCCTGTTAATGCAGGAGACGTGGGTTTGATCCCTGGGTTGGGAAGATCCTCTGGAGAAGGAAATGGCAACTCACTCCAGTATTCTTGCCTGGGTAATCCCACGGACCGAGGAGCCTGGCGGGATAGAGTCCATGGAGTTGCAGAGTAGGACACAACTTAGCAGCTAAACAAGAATATGTAAAACAGGTAACTGGTGAGACCATACTGGATACACAAGGAGCTCCACTCAGTGCTCTGTGGTGACTTAAATGGGAAAGAAATCCAAAAAAGAGGATATACACATATATATGGCTGATTCCATCCCCAAGAAAAAGAAATGCAAAAAGGGAAAATGGTTGTCTGAGGAATCCTTACAAATAGTTGAGAAAAAAGTAGCGAAAGGCCAAGGAGAAAAGGAAAGATTTATCCATCTGAATGCTGAGTTCCAAAGAATAGCAAGGAGAGATAAGAAAGCCTTCCTAGGTAATTAGTGCAAAGAAATAGAGGAAAACAATAGAATGGAAAGACTAGAGATCTCTTCAAGGAAATTAGAGATACCAAGGGAACATTTCATGCAAAGATGGACACAATAAAGGGCAGAAATGGTA